CCAACAGCGCATCAGGAAATAATAGCGTAGCGTCGACCAACAGCGCAGTGTCAACAGAGTAGTGTCCACAGCACATGGTGAACAGCATACTTTAAACAGCGTCGCGTCAACAATGTCGTGTCAACAGCGTAGCATCAACTGCGGAGTGTCAACAACGCAGTGTCGACAGCGTAGTGTCAACTAACAACGTACTGTCGACCGCGTGCTGTCAGCCGTGAGCCAACGACAGAACGAGAAATCACAGCGCGCCGTCGAACAACAGCGTAGTGTCAACACCGCAGTGTCGACGGCGGAGTGTCAGCAGCGTAGTGTCAACAGCGTAGTGTCAACAGCGTGGTGTCAACAGCGTAGTGCCAACAACGTAGTGTCAGAGATTCAGGAGCGTCGTCGTCGTCCGTCGTCAGTCGTCGTCGTCGTCGCGGTCGTCGTCGTCGTCGCCGTCCGTCGTCGTCGTCGCCCCGGCCTGCTGGGAGAGCGGATCAAAAGCGCAGCCATTCGGACAATTCCCCGCCACGATCTGAGAAAGTCGCCACGCTCACGCCCCGTAGGGTCAACGTGCGAACTACCGGCGGGGCGCGAAACATGAGCCAGAACTTCTGGTCGACACGTTTGTATCCATCGCGTCTCTCGACGCTGCGCGACCTGTGAAACGCTGCGTCCCGCAGACTCTGCTGTCTCGTACAACCTGTCACTGGCGCCTTCGTGCAGATCCGGAACGACGACGTCGCGGAGCCAGCAGATTGCCACCCACCGCACTGACCTGGGCTGGCCATCCGTCCAGCACTTCATGATCCGCGAGTAAGCGCGGCGGGAGCTACCGGAGCGCCAGGGCCGGCCGCTCAGCCTGGCGTGCAGCCTCTGCTCGTCTAAGCCTTCCAGCGTCAACAAATCCTTGACCAACTCGTACGCTTCGGCCCCGTTCGCCAGCGCGCGGCAGCCGCAATTGCGCAGCAGGTCGTCGGCGCCGAAACCGCCGTCGCCGTCGCGCTGGGCCACGTGCAGAAAGTCGAACAGGAGTCAGCCAGTGCGATCAAGGCGAAAATCACTGCTAGTGCCAGCAACGTAGTGTAAACAGCGCGGTGTCAGATATTCAGGAGCGCAGAACCTCTCCTCTGAATGTTAGCTGCCAACAACGTAGTGCCCATAAGGTAGCGTCAAATATTCAGGAGAGCAGAGCCTCTCCTCTTAATACCAACTGCCAACAACGACGTAGTGCCAACAACGTGGTGTCAACAGCGCAGTGTCACATCTTAGAAGCGTACACGATTTCCTTTTCATGCCAACAACTTAGAGCCAACAACGTAGCGTCACCAGCGCAGTGCCACATATTAGAAGCGTAGAATATCTCCTCTTAACGCCAACAACGTTGTGTCAACAGCGTAATGTTAATTCACCCTGCGTTACGTAGTGTAAACGGCGTAGTGTTAATTCACGACTTGAACTTTTAATTCACTGTTAAGAGATAGCTTGGTACACCGAACGTTTAAAACGAAACAGGCCCAAACGAGAACGAACAACGAAACGCGCACCACAACAAAAAACAGTTTACCATTAAAACGTGTTTAAAACAACAACGAACAACACAACGGAGCAACAACGAAAACGAAAACGAACAACAAAACGAAGGCAAAAACCAAGCTAGACAATGTTATTGTAAGTCCTTGACTCATACTTGATCCCCGATTGCCCGGCCTGGAGATCAAGTGCAGGAGGAAGAATGGGTCGAGCGAGGGGAGGAGGAAAACGGGTCGTCTTCCTCGTCGTCGTCACGATGACGAAGACGAGAAGGGGCTTCGGATGGACCGCTGTGGACGCGACGATGACGACGACATCGATGACGACGATGGCGATGGCGGAACTCTGGCAGCCAGGATACGCGATCCTCCACGCTTGCGCCACGTCGCGCAGTTATTCCCCGAGAAGGGTACACGTGCTTCCTCTGTTTCAAGACGTGGAATGGAATAGGGTCTGTAGGCCACCACAGAAGTGCCCTGCCATGGCTCGGCAATAGAGGAGGAGGAGAAGGAGCAGGAGCAGGAGGAGGAGGAGCGGCCGAAAGAGGGGAAGGAACGAGAAGAGACATGAGAGGAGGAGACTGGAGAAGATGAAGCTGAAGGAGATCAGGGTCCTGCATCTCCACCAGGCGTGACACGTCATTGAGTACCAAAGCCCCCGCAGCGGCGGCGCGCTCGCAGAACTTGCTGAGGATACTCAACGAATCCTTGAAGAAGAACGACCAAAGCAGCAGCACCGCGTCACACACGGGCGGCTCTGAGTCCTCAGGGCCCCCCCAGCAGGGGGACGAGGATGTGTCGGAGGTGCTCTGAAGGCGCTGGCAAGATAGTGCGCTTAAAACAACTACGCGCGTGCAGGATGATGATCCCGACTGTCCGGCGAAGCGGCAGCAGTAGATGCAGAAGGAAATTGTATGATACACAATGGCATGAAACGCCGCCGAGAAACTCAGTCAAGCTGATGCACCGCGTCCAGAATTCAATGGGTGTAACAACATTACAGTTACATCCAGGGACTGACACCCCTCTGCGGACACAAGCTTGCCCGCTCGCGCAGGTCGCTCATTCAACAATGGTCAAAGTCGTGCAGCCTTCAGCCGACCCGATTGGTACCCACGGTACAAGCATGATCAGCATGATCATGAAGAGGAGGAAGGAGGGGCCGGGGGGATGACGAACACAATAGGTGGAATAGGGGTAGAGAGTGTTCTCCCTGGCCGCAATGCATCGTCCGAGATCGGTCGGAACTCGTGAAGAGCTGCAGAAGCTTCCCATAATCGTATGCCCATGGCCCCTGCGGTCCACAATGCCAGCAAAACCAGGGGTGACGCCGACTGTACAAGTTCCTTTCCTTGCTTTCGCACAGTCGAAGTCATGATGCGCACGCGGCTACATGTGGCCTCCCAGGTCACCTCCACCCGAAGGATGGCGCCTCCTGCTCCATCCCCGCTCCCTTGAGCTCCAACAGTGACCAAACAAGGATGAGACAACATGGCTGGATCGGATGGACCTCGCGAATCGCCCAGCGGGAGCACCACACCATTCGTGTGCGAACACCACGTCGTTTGCGACTATCATCGCGCCGATGGAAACACACACACACAGGAGCGCCCGCACGTGTGTGGGCACCATAGCACCCGTCAGCACCGCTGCGTGTGCGAATACCGTGACTAATGCCTGTGAGCATCACCGCGCCGCGCCTAAGATGCGCGCGAGCGACGCAGGCCTGCCCAGCCTGACCTGTGCTCTGCACCCCACCTCCCTTCCGACCTGCGCGAACGACAAACCTCGGTCATCGTGTGGGGAGTGACCTGATAACCTGGTACAGATCTGGATCCCTTCACAGGGGGAGGCCGTTCGGGGCGTCAGTGACATGCTTTTGAAATGCCCTTCGAGCTCCAATCGCTCTAGGGATCCCGCCTCCCGCCACTCCCCCAGAACACGGGTACGAAACGCTGGTGGTGGAAACGCCTGCGTAAGGAGGCCAGCACCGACCGCCGATGTCGTGCTCTTTTTCACGAAGTGGGTTCCCCAGACTCTCGACCTCATCCGCAAGACAGATTGGTCGTCCCCGGTTGGGATATTCCCAGGGCCAAGGCACGGCCCCAGGTCAAACTTGAGATAATATCCACATTGTGATCGTCTAGGCCGTGGCACACTACGTCTGCGCCCCACTCCTTCAGGTCGACCCCCCGACCTCGCTCTAAGCACGTTCTGACCAGACGTTCGAATGGGAACCCAGCCGCGCCACACGACTCCCAAATCAGAAAGCTCATGTATTGGCATGGGTGAACAGACCCAGGACCAGAAATGGGGAGGAGGAGGAGGAGATTGAAGATGAAGAGGAGGAGTTGCAAGACTTGGGGCTGCGCACGGACCCCAAAAAGGCACGGCTGGCCTCTGCAGGCCCCCCGAAGTGGTCCCGGCTCACCTTCCCCGGGCCTCGGAGCAACCCCGGGCAGTCTCCGCACCCCAGCCTCAAGTCGGGCCTGCCCCTCTACAGGGGGAAGATTCAAAAATAGTAAAGAAATAGCCTGGGGACGATTTTTTCACCATTCCTCAATATTTTTGGATGATTTGGGGGATATCTTTATTTTTCGTCCAAAATCCGCCTGTCGGGGGACACGCCCGACCTAACCCCAGCCCCGGGGCGCGTGGAGCGCGCAACGCCCCTGGGGCGTCGCTGGGGAGTCACAAACGCCCTGGCCTGAGGGGGGCCGGCTGACGCCAGCACGGACGGAAGCCATCGTGCTGCCATCAGGTCGGGCGTGTCCCCCTGCAGGCGGATCTTGGACGAAAAACAAAAAATGCCAAAACAATGTTCAAAACTGCCTCAAGAGTGACCAGAGCATCTTCCACAGACTATGTTTGGAATATTTCTGCACATGCCCTCTGTACATAGAGGAAAAAGAACTATGCACATACACCGATTCTGGCCAGGCCCATCCTGAGCCCAGGATCGGTGCATACGCCCTCCTACCTTGGCCAGGAAGGCATATGCACCGATCCTGGGTCAGGGATGGGCCTTGCCAGGATCGGTGCATGTGCCTAGTTCTCTTCGCCCGACTGTAGAGCGACAGGCCCGACTTCATGCTGCCACAGAGAATTCCAAAAAGAAGGGGCGAGACGGGGCGCTTCCGGCCACGGCGGCCCGTTGCCCCCCGAGTAGGCTCGCCGACCACTGAGCGCAGTGCTGCCCGGGGAGCGGCCGAAGACCGGGGCCCCTCGCGAGAGCAGCAGGGGCCCTTCGCCACAAGACGTCCGACGGGTCCACAGCATGGCTCTCTCACAGCGTTAGGTCCGGCATGTCCCCCTACAGGCGGAGCTTGGGCGAAAAATTAAACATATTGAAGAAATACCAAAAATATCAATAACAAATAAATAAATGCCAGACAAGTCGTCCCCATACTCATTTTTTTGACTATTTTTGAGTACTCCTCCTGTAGAGGGACAGGCCCGACTCAATCACAGCGTGGCTTCCTGGTGTCCTGGAGTTGCCAACCCTTCGTCCTCGATGACTTCGTTCGGCTCTGGGGAGAGGCAAAGGGCCCCCCCAAGGCGAACAGGTGGTCAGACATCTCCCGTCGCGAGCTCTTCGCCACGCGAGGGTTTCAACGCCTCGACGGTGCCTCGGGGGAGCTGACCGTGGGCAGCCCGAGGGCCCCTCACCAGAGGAGAGCGGCGCGCCTGGCTCATCCTCGCCACGTCCTCGTCGCTGCGCACCTCCACCGTCACGCCGGCGTCCTGAAGGCCCTGGATGAGTGGCCGGGCCCGCTCGTTGGACGGCCCTGCGCAGAACACCAGGATCCTGGGCCGTCGTCGTCGTCGTCGTCGTCGTCGTGGTCGTCGTCGTCGTCGTCGTCGTCGTCGTCGTCGTCGTCATCGTCGTCGTTGTTTCCTCCTCCACCACCTCTTCTCCTCGAGTGGGGAGGGGGGAGTGGAACGGAGGGGGGGGAATGGGGAGCGGCGGCGGAGGAGGCTACTGGAAAGGGGGTGAAGGAATGTTCGAATCGGTTCGGGGTGCCCTGAAGGCCTTGTAAGGCCGCAGTTGAACACTCAGGCTCGCAATCGAATATTCCTTCGAGGTCCGCCGAGTGGTCGACAAGGGAGAGGGTTTGAAGCGGACGGACTCAGGGGAGCGGAGGGGGAGGGAAGAAAGGGAAGAAGGAGGGCGGAGGGAGAGAAAGATGGATGGATGGATGGATGGATGGATGGAGGGATGGATGCAGGGATGGATAGGGAGGATGGGGCTATCTGTTGAGCAATCCGTAAGTTGTTGTACCACGCAGGGTAGCGGCCACCCCGCGCAGCGCGCAGGGCCTATGGGCCAGCGGTGCCGGGGTGGGGGCGCTGTCCCTCCAGACTTGGCTCTGCGGGGCAGGCCGCAGCCCGGAGAGGAAGAAAATGGAGGGCGGAACGGGGGAGAGGGGGAGAGATGGAAGGGATGGAGGTCGAGGCCGAGCGGAGGGACTGGGGGGATGCGCAGGCGGAGGGGAGAGGATGGGACGAGGATGCACACAAAATCCTATGCGGCGTCGGCTGGCGCCCGCGCGGCAGCGTGCCGGGCAGGCCGTCCTCCGCGGTGCGGGGGAAACTATTCGTTCTCCCTCCTCCTCGTCTTCCTCCGTCACTCCTCCTTCTTCCTCCTCCTCGTCCTCCTCGTCCCTCCTGCTCACCTGGCCCTGTAGGGTTCGTGGAGGCTCCCTCCAGAGGTGGAGGAGGCTGGGGGAGGATTGCGGCCATCGCCCCCGCAGGTGCAGATCAGAGTTAGGGGGGGGCCGTCGTGGGGCGGGGCGCCTTGGAAGCAGACGTGAAGGAGAACGCCGCCGCCGATGCGGTTAGACTCACTGCACAACGAGCTCGCCGCAGGCGCCGACGTTTTGTCAAAGAGACACGGGCGAGTCGCAGGTCGCAAGTGGGTCGCAAGCGGATCGCGACGGTCGCGGGTGGGTCGCGGGAGGGTCGCAGCAAGGTCGCGGGTGGGTCGCCAGGTGGGTCGCCGGATGGGTGGACGGCAGGTCGTGGGAGAGGACGACGGGCAACAAGGATCGGCACCGCAGAATCCTACTTCAGTCTCGCACCCAAGGACAGTGGAAGAGCGCTCGGCCCCCACACTCTGATAATTGGTTTCAATGGTTCTGTGCGGTTATAGGGGGGATCCTGCGATCGCGACCAATTATCCTTCTCCCTCTTCATGTTCGTCGTCCTCATCCCGACCCTCCTGTACCCCTTTCCTGCTCATCATACTGTTCCCCATCCTCTGCTTTTCATGCTATTGCTGCTGCTCTTGTTCCTCCACGACCCCGGCTGTCCCCACCCAAAGTTCCCACCGCCCACTGCCCCCTGCACCCCCCTCTTCATCCCATCCGCCCATTCCTCCTTCTTTTCCTGGTCATCTGCTGCTCCTGCCCCATCGAGAAAAGGGATGAACGAGGAGGAGAGGGATGAGCCTCTCCTTGTCCTCTCCTTCTCGTTTCCTCTTCCTCCTCCTCCTCCTCCTCCTCCTCGTCCTCCCTTCCACGTCCCTCGACTCCGCCCGCCGCCTGTTTCCTCTTCCTACCTCCTCCACATCATTTTCTTCCTCATCGTCCTGCCCTTTCATTAACCTCGTTCTCTCCATATGTATATTGTGTACTGGCCCGCTCGGACCAATTTACGTTCCGCAATCGGTGCTTTGTTTCCCGAGCGAGGATGCGAGCCAACGGCCCCGTGCGAGACCCAGCCGGCCAATCCCACTGCACGGTATCGTCTCCTGCCTGCGCGCCGACGCAGGCATCCTCACACTGTGAAGCGCGCTCAGGGTTGGACGCGCCGCTCCCTGGTGGAGGAGTGCGACAGCTATACCTGGTTAGAGCTTTGGACTGAGCGAGGCGTGGGTGCGAGACACTCTCTACGGTCAGGAATTCGTGTTTAGCTTATCGCCGCGGCGGCCCCGGCGACAAGCTACGCCCTGCGAGCGGACAGCGCGCCGCTCCACTCCGCAGCGCGGAAGGCTCGGGAAGGCTCGGGACGTTGAAGACTGGGCGCTAGGAAATGGACTGCGCGCCGCGCCAAGGCGTGGCGGGCCAAAACCAGCGGCGCGACGCCATCCAAAATTTCCCGACCGCGCGCGCGTGCCCGTGCACGAGCTCGACAGAAGACCATGCGGGGCGATGCAGCCACAGCAGGACGCTAGGAGTGCTAACTCTGTTTAACCAGCAAAGGTCTGGTGCATCAGTTGTGCCACATCCGCATGGGCCACCCTCATATATGGCACCTCGTGCAGCGCATGTTAGTCAAAGCGCAGTCCTCCTCTTCCTCCTCCTCGCACGCGCCTGCGAGCCGAAGGTATCCGCGATCGGCGCCCGAGCTGGAAGCGCGCAGTTGCGGCCTGTGCGCGAGCTTTGCGCTCGCTGAGTTCGAGGGGGGTGGCGTCTCTCATGGAATTCAAAGCATTATACAGCAGCGTAGCTGCAGCAGGAACCTGGATGGCGCGGACGGCGGGGGGCGCGAGACCAAGACGGAAAATGGGGCAGCCAGGGAGAGAGGGGACGTGGAGCACGGAGCAGAGAATGGCAAGACATCGAGGACAGGACTAGTAGGGTCCCAGCGAATCACGATTCGAGTCCAGCCCGTTCGGGTTGCACCCCAGAAGACACGCGCAATCACGTTGAAACCTTTCGCCGTGGCCCATCCACGGATCAAGAGCTTGAGAACTGCCGAGGCAACGGAAGGCTTGGCATGCTGGAGTGCCTTCTGCACCTTGGGCCATGACCATTCGAGAACATCATGTTCAGAGCACGGGGGCCAGCTTGCAGGGCGAGCCGCGAACGCAGAAACAAGCGGGTCAGGAAAACGCTGTTCGAGGATGGCCGAGCCCAGGGGCCCTTGGATGCGAATTCGTTTCCCGGGGCGCCAATGGGGGCCAGGGGGGGGGGGGCGGGGAGAGCAGCAACGGCACTAGCAATCGAACGAGCGAGAAGGGCACGCAAGGACGAGGAGGAAGTGACGAGGTCGGCCCCGAGGGGTCTCGGGAAGTGGCAGGCGGCAGCCTCTATGAGTTCGGCAGGGGCGGGCTGGCGCCGGAAGGGTGGGGGCAGATTGCCGCGGATCACGCGACAGAATGGGGGGGCATCTTCGGCGGCGGCCCGCAGCATTGGCATCCGATGGCGCCGCGAGAGGATGGCGGAAAGACTAGAGCGGACAAGAGCAGAGGTGGTGGAAATAAGAAGGCTGGGGAAGCGCGGCCCGCCCCATCGCCAGAGGCTAAACCACCCGCTTCTAGGAGGCGAACAGCGGGCCGCGCGCCCAGGGCCCGGCGTGGAGGGCGGCCTCCAAAGGAGGCGCTGCCTCGGGAAGAGGCTGGAATTTTGCCGCGCTGCTTAGGGCTGATACTGCGCGGCTGGAGTAGTTGAACGCCGTGGCTCTATGCGGGGGCGCCGACTGCTCTATCGGCATGCCGCGGCGCCGCCTCTTCGCTAGCGGCGCAGCCCAGCTGTCGAGCTTCACTTGCGGGCCGAGCCACATGCCCAAGTAGAGCAGAGACGGGGCGATGGGGAAGTCTTCCCACTCGGGGATGTGCGAGCGCAGCCGGGATCGATATGAGTCTGCCATCTGCGTCGAGTACTCATCAACAAATGGAACAATCTAGCACTCAGCCGCCTTTAGCACAAGAGCGGCGATCCTTTCTGCTGCCCTGCATATTCGCATCATATGTCGTAGAGACGCGAAGTTCGCCAACGCTGCCCCCGCGTCTCTGCGCAAGCTCTGACGATCCCCAGGGATCTTCGATCAATGGCACCCGCAAGGCCTCTCGCAAATTCGTCAGCAGATACTGCGAATAGAAATCCAGAGGCTGGGAATCCTTGAACCATTCCACTGCAGATAAAGAAAGCATCGCGTACAGATGCAGGTCGGCTCTGAAGCACAAGACGCGGCGGTAGAGCGCGGCAAAGAAATCCAGCAATACCCGGGGAAGGCCAGCATGCTTGAGGACCAAGATGACATTGATGGGCCAGACTCGGGAAGGCCTGTTGGGAATCGTAGCTGACTAGAGAAGGCGCGGCTGCGGCGGCACCTTGCAGCGTCGAAGAGATCCGAGCATGCACATCTATATCGACGATGTTGTTGGCGAAATTGCGGGTCGGAACGAAGCCTCTCTGGATCTCACGAGTGATCTTTGGGGGCTCCTTGGATAGTTCCTGCGCGATCACACTGGCGACGATTTTGCTGTCCGTCTTTTCGAGACCTAAATGGCGGAGGCTGCCGGGAGCTCTGGCGCGCCCGCGCGGGGGGCCCTCGGCCCCGGGGCCCTTGGGGATAGAGATGCCCAAGCATAGCATTGCACTGACAGCCCTAGTTATTGCCGCTGGGTTGCCACGACATACCATCCTGAAGAATTGGCGCCGATAGTGATGATGACGCTTGATATGCAGCATATGGTAGCCCATCTGGGCCAGGGCCTGAGTGCACGAGATGTCGACGGGCGCTTTTCAGATATACTGATGCAGCGGCGGCGCCAATGGATTTCTCTTGAAAAATCTGCCCCGGATGCCCAGCAATCGCACCGTGCATCTCGGGCCGGGAGGAAAGGATGGATCAATTTTCCGACCGTGCCCCAGCGAGCGGCATCTTGCGGTTGAGTCGCGCCCACACTCTCGCGCGGCGCGAGAGTCTTCGCATTCTCTCGCGGAGATTAGCGCGCGAGGCCTGCGGCGCACCCGCTCGCTCAGCTGCGTCCAATTCAACGCGAAGCGTGCAAAGTGCAGCCACGGCGTCTTCAAGCTGGAGCTCGTCCTGCCGGCGGGCAAATGCTTCCGGGCTGATGAGTGAACAGCCTGCCGGATCATACTTAGGAGGGGTCTAGAAATTCATGGGCAAGAGGGGTAGCGATGGAGACGTTCTGCTAGTCTAGAATCTTGTTGCCATACTGTTCGCGCAAGCGATCGTAGCAGTGTCAATTGCGCCTGGGGAGATGTGGAGTCGGAGTCGATGATGGCGTCTCTAGCGTGTATAGCCCCTTCGCGAAGCACATACTTGCATTCGTCCAGGACCATGTGGGGGGGGCATTTCGCTCTTGTCTATCGTCGGCCAGGTCGTCTCGACAAATCGGACGAAGTGGGTGCTCTAGATGAGGCGCGGGGGGAATAGGTCGATCGTCGGCAGGAGGGGGGGGCGGGCACGGGGACTGGCCAGGACAGGAGCATGATCCGACCTTTTCTTCTGTTCCAGGGTCTCGGGGAGCTTTCGACAGCAGCAACGGCGTGGATGGCCATGAGGGCCCAGCCAGGCCAGGAGATGAACAGTCGATCTATCGCCGACGCGTGCTGCCTGGTTCCGTTGTAGTGCGCGTGCTCGCCTGGGTCTACTTCCACTACCTGCTGGAATACTCGGTCCCATGGCGACCGCCGCTGTCGCCTCCACTCAGCCAGAGCAGCATCGGGCTCGCAGTTCGCGGCGGGGACGCTCGGTCGCGGGGGCCCGCTCGGAGCGTTGACATCGCCCGCCAGGACGACGAGGTAGTGTTCTGGATCCTGAACAGCCTCCAAGAGTTCGCTCTGAATATGCCCGAGAAGCCTCTGGGTCTGAGTTCCAATAAATTTAAAGCTGCGCACGTTGTAATGTGAGATGATGAGCGGGGTCTCGTCGAGGCTGTTCAGGACTGCACCTAGATTAGCCGCAGTGCGACGAGTACGACCTCGAATGGCAACCTGCTTACTCACAGACGCTCCAGCTCAAGGTAACGATGATAGCTTTGAGAAGAACGCGACGACCCCGCCCTTGCATGAGGGGAAGAGAGAGAGAGGAGAAGGCATCGTGTTCCCCGAGAACTGCAGGCAGTCCGAGACATCGAAACTGCTTCCGCGGGCCCCCTGGACGGCGGCAATCCGAAAACCATGGAGCAGTGTCTGTAAATAAGTTCGCTTCTTGGTTCGCGTCGGTGCATCGCAATGGAAAAGAGCTCGAGCATTCCAAATGCCGAGTGCCAGTTCGGGAGAAACTCTGCCACCTAAGAGCCCGAACAACGTATTGAAGAGACCACCGCGGTACCATCTGGAAGCCGCGGTCTTGGGCAGGGCCAACTCGTGCTGATGACGCCGCTGCTCCGACCCGCGAAGAATCCAGTGTTTGGGCGCAGCTCTGCCATGATTTTTGCGGACCTGCTTCGTGAACAATTCCCTGCTGATTCGAAACAGGCTTTTATCCTCTGACATGAATAAGTCTGAGCCTTCTCCTGCGGCTGCGGCAGCGCGGAGACGTCTGAACTGGTTGTCGCCGAGGCGCATGTTGGCGAGCGCCTGGGAGATGTTGCGCGCTGCGAATCCTGGGGGCGCCGCGGACTCGCACAGCGAAGCGCTCGGCGGCGGCGTCGCCCCCAGCCCCCACGAGCCTTCGGCGAAGTCGTTGTCCTCCAAGAGGGGGGCGATGGCCGTAGCGACGGACACTTTGGTGACCAGCGCCTGTGCGCGGACCGCCAGGGCGGCGGGGTCGGCCTTGCGGTCGGAAGCGGAGCCGCCGACTCGCACGGTAGGCTTGGGTTCCTCTGTGACCATGGTGTCGAGGGCCTCATTGACCATCTCGATCTCGTTCGCCATGATGCCCATGCGGCTTGACAAGTTGGCGGCGCTGGCCTCCTGCCTGGTGCTTGGCGAGCCTCGACTCGACGCTGGCGTCGATGAGGGCGACGTGCTTGGTGATGGAGCCCTGCAAGTTGAACGCGGCTGCGTGCAGCACGGACATGCCCTCCATGATCTTGTTCTTGGCGCCGTCGACGTGACAGCGAAACTGGGCCAGTTCATTGTCAAGGTCGGCAGGGAGGGTGGGATGAACAGTATCTGAAGCACTGCTAGGAGGAAACAAGTTGCCATCGCCCAGGAGGGTCTCGAACTGCGATGTCGACCAGTCGACGCCACCTGCTCCTTCCCCGTCTAATCCTGCACCTCTTCCATGACCTGGACCTTTCCCAGCAATCCGCGCGACGTTCTGCTCAGGCGGTCCCTCGGCTTCGGGGGGCGCGTGGCTGGCAGCAGAGGCGTCTGGCATGGGAGAAGAAATGAATGTCCGCCAGCCTTTGAAAGCTGGGTCGCCTATAAGCAAAGCTGCCTCACTGAACCTCAGGCCTGTCCCGAACCTTGAGCCAAAATGGCAACGGACTCCTCCTCCTCCTCCTCGTCCTCCTCCACCTCCTCCTCCTCGTCCTACCTCTTCCTCGTCCACCTCCTCTCCCCACCCTCATTGTCCACACCCCCTCCTTCTCTGCCCCCCTACCCCCCACTATCAGCGTCAGTTCGCACCAGTAGTTTGAAGGAGTTTCTGCGGAACTCACGTCATCCTGACCCCCAGCGCGCGAGACAGTGAGGTCAACGACTGTACTTCCTGCGTCGCTTCCAGCGAACCCGACCGCATCTGGCGCAGAATCCAAAACCTGAGCCCGCGCCTGGGACATGCTCGCAAGGTCGGCCACATGGGCAGGGCCAGAAGTGCTTCCTGCACCGCAGCATCTGAACTGCCCGTTTTCCCGCATCAAGGCGCGAGTTCGTCTCTTGCGTTAGGGATGTCAGACGGGACGGGATCCGACCCCGTGGGATATCGCGTGGATGTCGTCGCTGGAGTGCCCGCCCCCTCGCCCCGTCACCCCCATCGTTCCCTTCCCCCGCACCCCTCGCGCTCTCGCGCGGCGAAGCGTATATTTCACGCCTACATGTAGAAGCTCCCGATCAACCGCGGAGCGGCCGGCTAATAGATCTACAGCATTTGGCACACAGTGCACAGCAAAGAAGGAGAAACCAAAAAGAGGGGCGGGCGCGCCTGCAACAGCACCACCTCGGTCAGTCCGACCGTCTCCTCCTCCTCCTCCTCCCCCTTCTCCTCCTACTCCTCCTCCTCCTCGTCCTCATCCTCCTCCTCCTCCTCCTCCTCGCTCCTCCTACTCCTCCTCATCCGCCTCCTCCTCCTCCTCCTCCTCCACCACCTCCGCCTCCTCCTCCTCCTCCCCCATCCTGTGCCTCCTCCTCCTCCGCTTCCTCATCCTCCTTCTGCTCCTCTTTCTCCACCCCCTCCTCCTCCTCCTCCTCCTCCTCCTCCTCCTCCTCCTCTTCCTCCTCCTCCTCCTCCTCCTCCTCCTCTTCGCTCCTCCTCCTCCTTTCCCTTTCCTCGTAACCAACTTCTCCCTGTCGCACCCCGAAGCCAATGTTTAGGGCGGGCTGGGCGTTTGGCCGAAGACTCCCTCTACACCTCTGACTCTGAAGCTCAAAAAGTGGCAATAGCTTCACAAATGGAGGGCGGGTGGCTCTCAACATGTGGCTCTCGCCTTAGCGCCGCGCACATTCGTTGTACAAACAATGCAAGAGCTTCACGGATTGAGGCTCGACCGTTTTCAAAATACGGCTCTCGCCTTAGCGCCGCGCACATTCGTTGTAAACAAATGCAAGAGCTTCACGGATTGATGCTCGACCGTTGTCAAAATGCGGTTCTCGCCTAAGTGCCGCGCACATTCGCTTTAAACTGTTGCAAGAGCTTCACGGATTTAAGATAACCCGTTTTCAAAATGTGGCTCTCGCCTTAGCGCCGCGCACATTCGCTCATACCATTTGCAAGAGTTCCACGGACTCCCACGATCAACGTACCAGAGATGGCGTTTTGGAAGGAGACCAGATTTGACGGGTGCAACAGTTAGGTTGGCTCGCGGTGCTGAAATCCCAAGAATGGCTTTCTGGCACGATCCGAGATCGTCAAGACGCAACAGTCAGGTTGATCCGTGGCGTTGTTACCCCGGGAACAATCTTTTGGTATGCTTCCAGGTCTTCAAACGGTTGACTTCCAACGAGGCAAATCCTTCAATGGAAATAAACCGTTGTAGGGGCCTATGAAGAAGGGGCTTGAAGGGAGGGTGTACTCCAACATCGTTGACGGTTCTCGGGTTTACACTGGTCCTCCTCCTCTTCCTCCACCTCCTCCTCCTCCTCCTCCTCCTCCTCCTCCTCCTCCTCCCCCTCCTTATTCTCCTCCTCCTCCTCCTCCTCCTCCTCCTCCTCCTCCTCCTCCTCTTCCTCCTCTTCCTCCTCTCGTTTTCCCGTCCTCCTCCTCCTCCACCTCCGCCACCTCCTCCTCCTCCTCCTCCTCCTCTTTTCCTCCTCATCCTCCCAATTCTCCTGCCCCTCCCCCCTCGCCCTCCTCCACCTCTTCCCCTTCCTCCCCGCCCCGCCCCCCCCCCTCCCCCCCTCTGTTGCCGAGACCGCTGCTCCCCGGACTTCCTCTGGGGCGAATGCAGACCCAGAAGTCCGGGGCGAACCAGCTGTGGCGGCGAGGGCCTCCTACGAGACCCACGCAAAGGGGAAAACGAGGGGAGGGTAGCGGTATCGATACCTTCTTCCTCCTCTGACCCCAGTCTCCCGTCCCTCCATCCCCCCCTCTGACGGGCGTGTGTTCCACCACCACCACCACCTCCAAAAGTTGGAGGGGGGAAGGAGGTGGAGGATGAGGAGGGTGGGGAGGAGGAGGAGGAGGAGGAGGAGGAGGAGGAGGACGAGGAGGAGGAGGCGGAGTAGGAGTAGGAGGACCCCGTCGCCCTCCAAATTGTGGTGGTGGAAAACAAGCCCATCACCTCGGGGACAGGAAGAGCTCCTGCGTGCTGGCCCGCGCCAATCTGCGGCACGACGGGCCGTCCTTGGGCGCGCCCGGCTCGGGCGGCTCTGGCTCCCGGACGGCATCGTCCTGCGGGGAGCACGATCCTCCTCCTCGCTCCTCCTCGCTCCTTGCTCCTTGCTCCTACTCCTCGCTCTGGCTCCTCTTCCTCCTCGCTCCTCGCTCCTCGCTCCTCGCTCCTCCTCCTCCTCCTCCTCCTCCTCCTCCTCCTCCTCCGTTTTCCTTCCCCATCCTTCGCACCATCACTCCATCACTCCTTCGCGTCTTGCTGCAGCGGCCACTGATATTCCTGCTGCGTGCTGCTCGTTTCTCCTGATTCCGAGGCTTTTCCTGCTCCTCCTCCCTCCTTCCTCCTCACCCACCTCCTTCTCCTCCTACTTTCCAAAAGAGGAAAAACGAGGTGGCGGAGCTAGGGCATGTGTGAGCAATGGCCTTGACCTTCAGGATCGCGGTACGATGCTCGGGGTTTCCCGACGGTGCGGCGTCCATCTTGGGCCTCCAAATGGCATTCCGTCAAGGCGGCTAAATGAATCGTTCAGATTCCGGCCTAAACGCGCCGCAGCGGAGCAGAAAGGGCAAGTAGGTGTTCACCTCTTTCATGGTCATATGTCCGAGCAGGTTCACGGGCCGGGCCCCACCTGTCGCGTCCTCCTCTTGACCAGGCCAGGGTCCTCCTCCCTCGTCCCTGCCTGGTGGTGCCTGGGTGGCGCTCGCCGCCCAGCCCGCCTCCTCCTCTTCCTCCTCGCGCCCCTCGTCCGCCCCCCCCCCCCACCCGCTGTGTATATATATATATATATATATATATATAAATAAATACTAGAACCATCGCGCGCGCAGGCCAGGGGCACGCTTGAGGATCTTGGACAGCGCTATCAAGCACAGGCGCGTGACATAGTCGTGCCTCCTGAGGGCCTCTTGGAAACCTCTTGGGTCTTCGTGGGGGCATCTGAAGGGCTTCTGGGGGGCCCTCCATGCTTCCTCAATTGGCTGTTGCAGGCACAGGGTGCTTCTCGGGGGGCATCTTGGGGTTTCTTGGGGTCCCTTGGGGGCATCGTCAGGGTTCTCCGGGAAGTCGGAAAGTGATGTTCTGCAGCCTGAAGCAGACAATTGGCCATCTTGGCTGCGTAGAGGCCCGGCTTGAGGCCACATTGGGGCAATCCGGAAGCCTCCCGGGGCCTCCTTGAAGCAATTTTGATTGGCCCCGTGTACGTCTCCTGTGAGCCTTTTGTGGCCTGGTGGGGGGCTTTGGTGGGCCTCGTCGAACCACTTGAGGACTCTTGGGGCCTCCTGTGGGCCTCTTAGGGCGAAAGGCTCTGCTGTTGGGTTCGCGTTCACCTTCTTGGGGCTCTCTTGGGGCCCTCTTGGGGCCCTCTCGGGCCGTCTTGGGCGCCTCGGGCACCGTCTTGGGGCCCTCGTGGGCCGTCTTGGGGCCCTCTTGGAGGCCTCTGCGGTTTTGGGGGCCTCTTGGGCCGTCTTGGAGCGTCGGGAAGTCAAAAGGCTGGGAACTTTAAAATCCATCAAAGGCCGATGGGAAAACATTGCTTCTTGGAACCTCTTCGGCCTTCTGGGGAGCTTCTTGAGGGCCTCTTGGGTCCCATTTGGGGGCCTCTGGGGCTTCCTGAGAGCCTCTCGGGGTGGAAGGCTCGGATTTTCGGTTCGTCTTACCCCTCTTGGGCCCCCCTTGGGGCCGTATTGGTGCCCTCTCGGGCTGTCTTGGGCCCTGTTGGAGGCCTCGTGGGCTATCTTGGATTGGTCTTGGAGGCCTTTTGGGCCGTCTTGGAGCGTCAGGACGCCAAAAGGCTGAAAACTCTAACATCAATCAAGCACCTACGGCAAGACATGGATTTGTGCCTCTTGGGGCCTTCGTGGGAGGCCTCTTGGATACGCTTCGGCCCCCTGGGGGGGCTTCTTGGGGCCTCTTGGAGCCTGTTAGGGCTTCTCGGGGCCACCTGAGAGCCTCTCGGGATGGAAGACTCGGATTCTCGGGTCGTGTCAACCCTCCATCTTGGGGCCGTGTTGGGGCCCTCTCGCTCCGCGACCCCCGTGGGCTGTCTTGAGACCGTCTTCGAGGCCTCTGGGGATGCCTTGGAGCGGAAATTGAAGCCTCATGGGCCGTCGTGGGGCGTCAGGAAACTCAAAAGGCGAGAACTCGAAAATCGATCAAAAACCAAAGGAAAACAAATTAGTTGTGCCTCCTGGGGCTCCTTGGGAGCCATCTTGGAGACCTCTTGGGGCGTCTTGGAAGCCTCTTGGACAGTCGGGGACCAATTCTGGGGTGATCTCGGGCGGTCATTGGTCGTGTTCGTTGTCTGGAAACGCCATTTCTGGCAATCCAGGGCCGTCTTCTGGCGACTTTACAAGGCCCCCAGCGCCACGGCAAGGCCTCCGGGCATCCCGGCGCGAGGGCCCCATCCCGGGCCCCACCTCGTGCCCGCGGCAGGGCGTCCCTGGGCGGTCTCGGCGCCCTCGTGGGCCGTCTCGGCGCCCTCGTGGGGTGTCTGAAATCCATCAAAAATCGAAGGACAATCAATGATTTTGGCGTCCCTTTGGGCCGTGTTGGAAGCCTTGTGGGCCGTCTGGGGGCCATCTTGGGCGCGTTCGAACGATATGTCCTCGTTTCGGGGCCTCCTGGGGGCCTCTTGCGGCCCTTTTCGTTTGTGTTGGGGCTTTCTTGGGCCGTGTGGGGGCGGCCCTGGGCTGTCTCGGCACCCTCTTGAAGCCTGTTTGGGAGATTTCTGGGTGTCCTGGACCGTCCTCCTTCAACGTCGGCGGCACTGACCGTAAGACTTCCTGGGAACATGATTTGTTGGGGTGTCGTTGGGCGCCTCCGGAGGCTTCGGAACCTGACGCGTTTCCGAGCGTGACGGCAGGTAGCGCTGCTTGGGGCTCTCGTGTTTTTATCCTGGCAGGCGTTTAAGGAACATGGTTTGGGGAGAAGGCGGCAACCCGATAATCATGTTCCCGGGAAGCTTTCCGGGAACATGATTTGTTCCGCTCTCCTATCGGGGGGGCTTCTGGGGGCTTACCGAGGGGCCCTTTTTGGCATTGTCGGCAAGCCTATTGGAAACATGGTTGGGGCGGTGGACGGAAGCCCAAGGAATCATGCTCCCGGAAAGCTCTGGGAAATACGATTTACCGAAGTCTCTTGGGGGCCCGCAGGGGGCCTCCCTGGGGCCCCTTGGGAACTCATTGGGGCTTCCGGGGGGCCTCTTGGGAGCCTCACGGGGTTTCTTGGGAGCCTCTTGATGGCCTCCGGGGGCGTCCTAGGAGCCTCTCAGGCTGGAGACCTTGAAATGTCGCGCTCTTCGGGCCCTCTTGGGTCGCTCTTGGGGCTCTCTTGGGGCGCTCTCGAAGCCCTGTTGAATTATCTGGGGAGCCTCCTGGGCCGTCTCTGGTCTTTCTTGGGAGCCTCTTCGGCCGTCTTGGAGCGATCTGAACGGCCTCTGACGCCGTCCGGGACCGTGGGGAGGCGGAACATGCGATAGCGCAAAAATGCGGGGCCCTGTGGAGGGGCCTCTGGAGGCGGTCTTGGGGCGTTTTGGCGGCGTCGTCGGCCGTCCTGAGGCCATCTTCGGCATGTCCGGGGCCTCTTGAGGCTGTCTTGGCAAGCTTTAGGGCCCTCTTGGTGTGTCGTGGCGCGTTTGGGAGCGGACCTGGGCAGTCCCGGGAGCGCTGGGGGCTGTTGAATGCTAGGTGTTGTCTTGGAGGCGGAGGCTGTTGAGTGCAGGGTGGCGCGTGCTACGCGGAAGGTGGGCGAGCGGCCAGGCGGGCGGCGGGCGGGCGGGTGGCGGGCGGGCGGGCAGGTCGGGATTTGAATGAATTCCTTTAAGGGTGCTCTCTTGCAGCGGGAGCTTGTTGAGCACAGGGTGTTGCCTTGAAGACGGGGGCTGTTGACTACAGGGTGTTGTCTTGGAGACTGAAGCTGTTGAGTACAGAGTGGTGCGTGCTACGCGGACGGCGAACGGGCGGCGGGTGCCCTAGGTGGTGGGTCAGAGGCCTCATGGGTGTTGGTTTGGATCTCGTGGTTGGCCTGTCGGGAACGTCGTGAACGCAGTTTCGCATCTTCTCGGTGACCGTTTTGGGGCCGTAGTGGGGCCTCCTCGGGGCTGTTTTGTGGCCTTTTGAAGCCTCGTTTGGGCCTCCTGAGTGCCTCTCGGGGGCACTCTTCAAGAGGGAGGGTCGAATTTTGGATTCGTGGTCCCCTCTTGGGCGCATCTTGGGGCCGTCTTGGGGCTCTCTTGGGCTGTCTTGGGCGCCTCTGGGGTCGTCTGGGGGCCCTCTTGGGCCGTCTTTGGGCGCTCTTGGGGGCCTATTGGGCCGTCTTGGAATGTCGGACAGCCGAACAGGCAAATTCTCTCCAAAACCTTTGAAAAATTACCGATTTCGGCCACTTGAAGCGCTCTGGAGAGGCCGGAGCACTGGACCCAGGACCCCCGGAGGAGCCTCCGAAAGTCGAAGGGCGACAAGAACATCGGCGGGAGGCGAGCCGAGAAGTCGAAGGGGCGAGCGCGGTCCCGAGGGCGACCGGGGCGGGGACGGCGTCGACGACGACGACGCCGACGACGGCGACACCGCCGACGACGGAGAATTCTCTCTGGGATCCGAGGGCCTCTGCGCTGGCCCGGGGCGGGATGTGCCACCGCAGGAGGGCCACGGCGCGCATGGCGTCCAGGAGGCCGTTTTCTTGGACCAGCGGCGGCGGCGGTCCGAAAATCGGCTCGTCCGCACCGTCCGTTGTAAGGTTCCTCGGGGCTGTTTGGGAGCCTCGTGAAGCCTCGTTCGGGCCTCCTGGGTGCCTCTGGGGGGTCTCCTGGGGCCTCTTGTGTCCCCTTTGGGGCCTCCCGGGGCTCTGTGGAGGCGGGAGGCTTGAATTTCCGGTTCGCGGCTCCCCCCTTGGAGCCCTCTTGGTGCCGTCTTAGGCCTCTCTTCGCCCGTCTTGGGCGCGTCTTGGGCCGTCTTGGGGCCCTCCAGAGCCGTCTTGAGGGCCTCTTGGAGGCCTCTTGGGCTGTCTTGGGGCGTCTGCAGGGGGCCTGTGAGCCGTCGTGGAGCGTCGGAGAGCTGAAAAGGCGGGAGAGGCAAAATGTATCCAAACCCTTTGTAAAATGATCGATATTGGCCTCTTGGGGCCCTCTAGGGAGGCGGCCTCTTGGAGGCCTCTTGGAGCGTCTTCGGGGCCTCTTTGGCCGTCTTGGGGTTATCTTGGGGGTCTCCTGGGGCCTCTTGGGGCCCGGCTCGAATTTCCGGTTCGCGGTTCCCCTCTTGGGGCCCTCATGGGGCCGTCTTGGACCTCTCTTCGCCCGTCTTGGGCGCGTCTTGGGCCGTCTTGGCGCCCTCCAGAGCCGTCTTGAGGCCCTCTTGGAGGCCTCCTGGGCTGTCTTGGAGCGTCTGCGGGAGGCCTGTGAGTCGTCGTGGAGCGTCGGAGAGCTGAAAAGGCGGGAGAGGCAAAATGTATCCCAAACCTTAGTAAAATAACCGATTTTGGCCTCTTGGGGCCCTCTGGGGGGGCCTCTTGGAGGCCTCTTGGGGCGTCTTCGGGGCCTCTTTGGCCGTCTTGGGTTTATCTTGGGGGTCTCCTGGGGCCTCTTGGCGCCCCTTTGGGGCCTCCCGGGGCCCTGTGGAGGCGGGAGGCTCGAATTTCCGGTTCGCGGCTCCCCTCTTGGAGCCCTCTTGGGGCCGTCTTGGTCCTCTCTTCGCCCGTCTTGGGCGCGTTTCGGGCCGTCTTGGCGCCCTCCAGAGCCGTCTTGAAGCCCTCTTGGAGGCCTCTTGGGCTGTCTTGGGGCGTCTGCGGGAGGCCTGTGAGCCGTCGTGGAGCGTCGGAAAGCTGAAAAGGCGGGAAAGGCACAAATGTATCCAAAACCTTAGTAGAATAAACGATTTTGGCCTCTGGGGGCTCTCTGGGGGGACCTCTTGGAGGCCTCTTGGAACGTCTTGGGAGCCTGCGTGCGAGGCGAGGCGAAGCTGCGTGGGCGGGCGAAGAATGTCCCGCCTGTGGCTGACGCGCGGCCGGACCAAAAGTCTCGATTCCGGCAACCAATGCCAAGCGGTGTCCCGCCGGTGTCCCGTCGGTGTCCCGATGATGATGATGTTGATGATGATGATGATGATGGTGATGATGACGATGTTGTTAATGATGGTGCTGATGACGATGGTGGTCATGGTGGTGATGATGATGGTGTCCCGATGATGGTGATGCTGATGATGTTGATGTTGCTGGTGATGATGATGATGGTGTCCCGATGATGATGATAACGATGATGTTGATGGTCCTGATGATGTTGATGGTGATGGGGTGATGAGATGATGACGGTGCTGAACATGATTTTGATGGTGTCCCGATCGTGATGATGATGAGGCTGATGACGATGATGTTGGTGGTGGTGGGGATGAGGATGGTGTCCCGATGATGATGTTGATGTGGGTAATTATGACGATGATGGTGTCCCGATGATGATGATGATGGTGTTGATGATGAGGTGATGATGACGTGGTGATGATGGTTTTGATGGTGGTGGCCCGGTGACGATGATGATGCGGTTCTTCATGACGATGATGGTGTCCCGGTGATGATACGGGTGGTGATGATGATGAGGGTGACGATGATGATGGTTTCCCGATGATGATGTTGATGATGATGCTGCTGATGATGATGGTGGTGTTCCGATGATGATGATGTTGATGATGTCGTTCATCAGGATGATGATACGGTGATGATGATGGTGGAGCTCACTTGGTAGTGATGATGATGGCGTCCCGATGCTGATGGTGTTCATGATGATGAGGGCGGTGGTGGTGTCCCGATGATGGTGATGACGGTGATGCCGATGATGGCCATGGTTGTGATGATGATGGTGTCCCGATGATGATGATATCGATGATGCTGATGTTGCTAATGAAGATGATGGCGCCCCGATGATGGTGATGTTGATGATCATGATGATGTTGGCAGTGAAGGGATGATGAGATGATGCTGATGATGAAGATGATGATGATGATGGTGTCCCGATGATGATGCTGAGGTTGGTGATGGTGCTGTTGGTGATGGGGTGGTGATGATGGCGGTGTCCAGATGATGATGAAGTTGGTGAGGATGACGATGATGATGACGGTGTACAATGCTGGTGATGTTAATGATGGGGAGTGATGATAAGGCGAAGATGAGTTTTATGATGGTGGCCCGATGAGGATGATTATGATGTTGATGTCGATGATGATACCCCGATGATGATGATGAAGGTGATGATGGTTACGATGATAATGGTGTCCCGACGATGGTATTGGTGATGATGATGTTGCTGATGATGATGATGGTGTCCCGATGATGCTGATGTTGGCGATGGCTTTCGTGATGATGATGATATAGTGATGATGATGATGGTGTTCCAGCGATGATGATGATGGTGTCCCGATGTTGATGATGTTGATGGTGATGATGGTGACGATGATGGTGCACCGATGATAACTATGGTGATGATGACAAGGTTGCTGATGATGGTGATGAGGTGGTGAAGGTGATGGTGCCCAAATGATGACGGTGATGTTGATGGTGCTGGTGACGATGATGATGATGACGACGCTGATTGTGAGATCGATTGTGATATCGATAGCGCTACCGATAATGAGACCAACTGTGAGATAGATTGCGGGATCGGTCGTGAGATCGGTAGTGAGATCGATCGTCATATCGATTGTGAGATCGATCGGGCGAAATAGATCGAGCGCATCGATTGCGAGATCAATCGAGTGAGATCGATCGAGCGAAACCGATAATGAGATCAATAGTAAGATCGATAGTGGGACCGATCGAGTGAGACGTCGCTCCCCCACCCCCCCACCCGCCGAACCTCCTTATCACCCGAAGGGTGGTCGTATAGGTATATACATGCGTGCGTGCATGCTTGCGCGCGTGCGCCGGGAGGGCCTCCACTTGGGCGTTCGCCTCGATGGCGCGAAGGGCCTCGCCCGCGCCCCTCAGGAACAAGGGCCCAGACCGTGCTTCCATGCCCTGCCCTCCTGCCCGTCGCCGCCGCCTCTGGCCCTCCGCCGCGACGCGCTTCACCAGGGCCGGCGGGTCGCCGCGCTGGAACACGTTCACCCCACTCCTCGCAGAGCAGCTGCTCCCTCCAGGGAAGGTGCTTGAGGGCGCGGGCCTGCGCTGCTGACGCGGCCACCGCATCTCTGCGCTCCCAACAGCGTGTGCGACCGATCCATGACTTCTCGCGCCAACTCCCCTTCTGGGCATGTTAGCCAGCACTGCTATTCGCCGCGCCCGCTCTTGGCCCTTCAAGCTCCTGCCCCAGCTTGGCGGCGCGCCTCCATGTCGACAAGACGTGCGTGGCCTAACGTGTTCCACTGACGTGCGCGTCGGCCTCCGCGCCGTGCCTTTGGCGTCTGAGCCGCGGCTGCCGCCTGGGGACCTTCCAGGCGCACTGCGGTGGTCCTTCTGCGCGTCGATGTCTCCGCTGCTCCTTCTCGTCGACGACGTCGCACCTGCCCATCAGCTCGTCGCCAGCGCGCCAGAGTGCCAAGTCCCGCGCGACGGCGAACTGCTCTGGGTCGGCCGCTGCCGTGGCGGAGCGGAGGTCGCCCCTCCAGCCCCTTCCATAGGTGCCATGCACAGCCTGGCGGCGGCGTCCACGCTAGCGGCTCGGGCCCCACCAGCGCGCTCACCTGCGCGCCAGTCTGGTACTCTGCCTTGACGGTCTTCTGCGTGGCGGTTGAATACGGGCATGATCTAGAGTCGATGTGGACCACGGGGGGCCTCCGACATCTTCTGCATCAGGCGCTTGGACACGAGAAAGGAGTCGATCGCAGTGCCGAGCGCGCTCGCATGGCGCATGGGCTCGCGCGAATCAAGGCGCCGGCCTGCAACCAGACGCGGTTGCCCGCCGGTCGCCAGGGCGCCGGGGGCCATCTGGAAGTCGCCCATGACCAATCCAGACCCATGAGGTGATGGCTTCGGTGAACTTGACTACCTTGCACAGCGTGCCGAGGTTCTCTGCTGAGAGGCCCACTCCCGCGCGAGGGTATATGGCGACCACGACAAGCCCACCGTGCACCGTGGCGTGGACATGGCATGCGACCGCTCGGCCGGGCTCCAGCGCAGGACCAGTCGAGCCAGGGGGCGCCGTCGATGGCGCGCGCCCAAAGGCCAGGGCGGCCACTCCACCTCGCGGGCCCTTGTCCACTCCCAAAGGCGCTGCCGCGCTCCAGACCCCGCGACGGCCGAGGTCGAGCGCCGCGGCCTGAGCCTCGCCAAGCCTGCCCTCCACCACGTGGCGTTCCTGGACGGCGACGATCTGCTGCGGGCCACGCTGGGCGCGGCACTCCACCCACTGCATTCTCGAGCTGGCGCTGACGGTGGGGATGGCACTGGTATCCACCATCATCATCACACTCATCGCCCGAACCAGGACCAGTCTGAGTTGGGAGCTCGTTCCGTATCTTGCGGGTGCGCATGTAGCCGATAACTGCCGCGCAATGTTTGGCAGCCTCCTGGGCGCCGCCCCTATCGCCCCGGGCATCCACGGGGAAGCCCATGCGCTGCGCGTGCTCTCGCAGCGAACCCATGTCTTCCATTTTGACGTAGAAGCGCTCATCAGCTCGGGATTGGGCGCGTTTGGCGGCGTCGGCAGGAATCAGGGCAGCCTGGGCAGCAGCTCGCTTGCCCGCCTCCGCAGCTGCGGTGGCTTGGGCCCCCACCACGCAGTGCTGCAATTCTGCCGCCACTCACTCCAACAGCGAGATTGCGGAATTCCTGCCTTGCCTGAAGTTCGCCAGCAGGGTGTCCAGCACTTGAAATGGACTTGGCCGCCGTGTGCTGCGATGTCTTCGCGTCTGGCGGCTCGCCAACTGAGGGTGGTTGTGGGAAGCTGCCAAGAGGACGCGTTGCTGTTCTTGGAACTTGACCATCTCCGTCTCGAGCTTGCCGACCTTCTCCCACGCGTTGCTGCTTTTGGAACTTGACGAACTGGACCATGTCCGTCTCGAGCTTGCCGACCTTCTCCCCCAGCTCTGCTGCCGCCGCCGCGGCCGTCCTGGCTTGCCAGCGATAATCCTCAACCTGCTCCTTGTTTTTGTCGATGCCAGCACGCGCCCGTTAGATGCTGCCAGTGACGCTTTGCTGGCATGCGGCGGAGGGCTTGGCCGACTGCATCTGCGTCTGCACTTCGTCATGTTCTGCACGGGCAGCAAGGAGCTTCTCGAGGGACCTGATCTGTTCGTCGACCTGGCCCAACTTCTTCTTGAGGTCCGTGGCGGAGTTGACATTGCCACTTGGCGTTGCCTTTCACGGCGTCGTCCTCTGCTCCTGCCAGGCGCTGGAGCCGATCGCGGCACCGGCAGCTCTCCCACCACCTGCACCACTTGCAGCCCCGCCTTCTTTGTTTCCTCCCGTCGACCTTAGCCTCGGCGCGCGCTTGGGTGGCGCCTCGGAGTCCACCTTCCCGCAGAAGGTGACGGCCTTTGGGAGGTGGCATTTGACGCAGCTGGTCTTGTCGACGAAGTTGGCCCAACCTGTGCAGTGCTTGCACTACCAAGCGGACACACGATCACATCTGGATCCCATTGCGCGTGTGCCGCGATGCGTACGAGTGGCCTTCTCCCTTGCCGGCACCCTTGGGCGGCAACGCCCTTTTTCGGACAGCAGAGCTCCGTCCGGGAGCGTCGCACGCTCTGGAGCTCGCCTGAGACAGACTGCGGCCAAGCAGGCCAGAAGAAACAACTTGTCTAGCCGCCGCGGACCAGCGGTAGCCAATCGCTTCACCCGAGAACTATGCAGGTTGAGCCAAAATGGCTATGGATACGCACTGTTTTTTTTGTACCGCCTTGCACTTGGGTCTCGACAAGTGAAATACGTGGCAAAAAAAACGCGGGTGTGTCTTCAACGTCTTTAGCTAAATCGAATACCTTTTTTAAGCCCGTCGCTGTGGATCATCACTCTTTGGCCGCTTCTTGCGTTCTGATCGAAGACTGCTCCTCGTCTTCCCTCCCATCCGTGTGTGTGTGTGTGCGTGCGTGCGTGCGTGCGTGCGTGCGTGCGTGGGTGTGTGTGTGTGTGGGTGAGTGTATGTGTGCGTGTGTGTGTGTGCGCGTGTGTGTGTGTTGTGTGTGTGTGTGTTGTGTGTGTGTGTTGTGTGTGTGTGTGTGTGTGCGTGCGTGCGTGCGTGCGTGCGTGCGTGCGTGCGTGCGTGCGTGCGTGCGTGCGTGCGTGCGTGCGTGCGTGCGTGCGTGCGTGCGTGCGTGCGCGTGTGTGTGTGTGTGAATGCGTGTGTGTGTGTGAATGTGTGTGCGTGTGTGAATGTGGGTGAGTGTGTTTGTTGGGACGCCCGAAATGGGTACTGAAAAAATGGGTACAATGCCCAACAACAAATGCTGTCCCAAACCAACCGCGGCCGCTGTTGGGCAGGCGGCCTTCTGTCTCAAATGGACACGGGCCGCGGCGGCGCGCGTGTGTGTGTGTGTGTGTGCGTGTGGATGTGAATGTGTGAATGTGTGTGTGTGTGTGTGTGTGCTTGTGTGTGTGCGGCATCGCGCACGCGCCGCCGGTGCTGCGGCTCGGGCTGCCGTCGGGCGTGGGTGTGCGCTCGGGGAGCCCGCAGCACCGGAGCGCAGGAGGAACAGGCAACGGGGGGGTGGGAGGGCATTGGAGGGCAAAAAATCCACCCCCATGATAACCACCCGACATGCGAGGACGTTTACTAGACGCTCCCACCCCACTGAAGGAACCGTACAGGGCAAGGCTGTTTAATAAACGACCAAAGCCGTTTAGTAAACGCCAATTGTCTGGTCCGGGTGGTTTTCCATTCTTTGAGGTATGACGCCACCCAAATCGAAGTCGGGGAGACGTAAGACTCAAGTACGGGGGACTCGGGTTGGCCTGACGGGGTCACAATAAAAATGGCAAGGCCCAATCTGAAGCTTGACGCGAGCTCCCGCTGCAAACATCCCACAAAAACTGAAAGGTCAAAATCAAGGACGCGCTCGTCGAAAAACGTCGGCAAACTCTGGTTCCGGCTTACTCGAGTCTTACGTTCCCACGACTAAGACTAAGACAGGACGAGGACAAATTCGGGTGAGGACAAATCGACAATCTCTAAGATCTGGCGGATCTGGGGGATGTCTCGGGCGCCGCGGCCTTCTCAAAGCGTTCCGGAACGCTCTGAGAGCCTGCGGGAAAGCACTGGAACGGATTTATCCTCGTCCTGGCCCCGTCCGACCCAAATCACCGCCTTCGTGGGGTCTTCGACCCGGGCAAAAGCGTTGGGGCCAATAGACCTCTGTCGTCCCCGAGGGCGAATCCCCGAGTTCTCCCTCCCTGAGCCTGAGCGGCACAACTCTTGGAGGGCAGCTAGAGGACTGGGGCGTGAATCCGTCTGCGAGCAAAGACCACAACTTCCTGGCTCCGCAACAGAGGAAACCGCGCAAATATACAGTGGAGGCCAGTCCACAAGAAACCTTCCACAAGAAACCCAACACTGAGATACCAGGACGTCCATGCATTGTTAGTGTGAGAATGTCACGCTTTCCATCGCAAAACCAGCGACACCCAAGAAACCCAAGGCACCCTGGAGGCAAGCAGGGTGCTTCTTGGCATGGGCCTCCACTGTACACTGAAGCATCCGGGCCCTGTCCCACGGGGCTTCGCAGAAACGCCACGGCACAACGACAAGTGTACAGGCGACAGGTGCCGAACACGAGTGCTCGGGCCACCGTCTGCCACGAAATCGTCGACAAACGTAACACAGCATCGTGGACATGCTCCCGGCCCGAGCAGAAGCAGAGCACGGGTGCTTGTTTTGTTCTCGGCCTCGGCCCCTGGGAGGGACGGGCGCCGTGCTGGGCACGAGGGCCCTCGAAGCGCAGCACGAGACCGGGGCACGGTCCCCAGGAACGGGGGTCGCGAGAGCTGCAGTGACTGCCTACCAGACCACCCCAACCCAACCCCAAGATCCGAATTTCGAGTTGGGGGGGGGGTACGGGTTCAAAATGTGTTTTTTCCATCTGCCCCGACCCCCCCCCTACTGGAAATGGAAAGCAATTTGAAGCCTTCGGGTTGGCTTGGGGCGGTTTGGTGGGTGGTGAGCCGGGGGGGCCTGCGCCTGCTGGGACCTGCTCGGACCAGGAGCTTAGGATGCCACTCCTGAGAGGTTCAAATCAGAGTCAGCGGTGGACAATTCCTGGTCGAACACTTGCGCAATCTCGTAGAACTCCAAGCAATGCGGCATAATCCCGCTTGGTCCGGCTTTCTACCAAGCGCAATCCGGCCTGATCCAGCTTAGTATAGCGACTCCTGACTCGGGCTTTGTCGCCCTTAATATCGTTCTGACCAACACGTCCCAACAAGGTAGCCCTGGAGCTCGTTCCGGCTTCCGTTTTCCCGCGCCGCTGCGCCTCCTGCGAGCTTTGAAGATGTCCCGAGAGGCGTTTTCTCAGCGTTTCCCAATTCGTGTGCCCGGAGACTCTCCAGAAGCTCTCCAGAAGCTCATTCGGAAGCTCCTTCCAGGAGCTTCCAGCGCTCTTTCGAAAAGCCTTTGGACGGCCTTCTGGCGCTCCGCTATCCGGGTTTTGAATCCCGCAAGTTCTGACCAACACCTCCCAGGAGTTCCCTAAACACGACGTCTGACGTCTGAGAGGAGCAGGAGGTCCACCCTCCCCGCTCCCCCCCCCCCTCGCCTCCTCCTCCGCCTCGGCCAGGCCCTCCCGCAGTGGAGGGCTAGGACGAGGACCAATGAGGTGCGCGGAGTGCCTGAATGACGAGGGCGTGGATGAGTATGGAGGAGGAGGAGGAGGAGGAGGAGGAGGAGGAGGAGGAGGAGGAGGAGGAGGAGGAGGAGGAGAAGAAGGCCGAATAGGGGGACGGGGGGGGGGAGGCGAAGGGAGGAGGGCGAGCCGAGCAGCAGGGAGGCGGAGGCAGAGGGGGGGAGCAGGAAGCAGAGGGGAGGGCGGGGGAGGCACGGCGGGAGGAGGGGGAGCGCAGGGAGCGGGAGGAGGCGGCGGCAGAGGCGCCGCGCGGGGCCCTCCTGGGCGGCCCGCCCCCGCCGCGCGCCGCCGCTCATCGCGGCACGCCGCCGCGCCCCCGCGGCGGGGCGCCGCGGCGGAGTCGCAGCGGCGCCGCCCGCGCTGCGGCCGCCACCATGGGCGGGGCTCGCTCAGGCTCCCCGGAGGGCTCGGCGGCGCTGCCTCCTCGTCGATCAGACACGAGCCTCGAGATCCTGGCGACTCTCCTCCTCCTCCTCCTCCTCCTCCTCCTCCTCCTCCTCCTCCTCCTCCTCCATTTTTTCGAACCGGGCGTTTGCGTTCTTAGTTTCGGGCGCCGGGAGCCTCACGGGTCGTTCCGGCTCCAAAAAAAATGACGCAGGAAGATGGGGTCCGGGGGGTCCGGTCGTGAGTTCTTGCGATGTTTCATTTTTGACTGCCATGCGTCCGATCTCAAAGAAGGACGAGTCAAGACAAAGTCGGACCGATACGAATCGGAAATCCCTGAGAATCGGCTGGTTGGGAGGCTGTATCGGGCGCCGCGGCCGTTTCAAAGCGCTCCGGAACGCTCTGGGAGCGCTGCGGAACGCTCTGGACCGGATTTCTCTCGATTCTAGGCCCGTCCGAATCAACCCGCAGGGACCGAGCTGGAACGTTTACGTCAGAACGATTTCAATGCTATTCGCCCGACATCTGAGCCATTGAGCCCGGCCAGGCCACATTGAGCCTAAGATTAGGCAGGATTGAGCGGGAATTGGCTCATCTCCTCGTCGGATCCACGTCGGATCCACGGAGCATGTACGTGGGACTTTTCGCCAGATGCACGTCGGACTTACATCGGAGCATCGCCACGCGAACGTCGTCACATATGTGACCGTGTAGGCGTGGATCCGCTGACGGGTCACCGAGGGCTCGGCGGTTCGTCTCGTCGATCCGCAGGGCCCGAGCTGGGTCGAGAATCGCGCGAGGCCAGGTCGAGCTCGGAGACGGGTCGGATCGCGCCCGCATCGTCGCGGAATCGCCTCCCCTGGGACAGCGGGCCAGGCTTGGGCCCTGCAGACCGGGGGGGAACCCGGCGCGGGGAGGCGCCCATGCATTGAGGAGTGGGCCCCAGCGGCGGGGCGGCAGCCAGCTGCAAGCAGCAGAGTTCGTAACCCCCTCCGTTCCATATCCCCCCGCTTCGTTCGGCCCGACAGGTCTAGGAGGGGCGGGCCGCAGGGCGCTCGGGGCACGCGCCACGTTCTTTCTCAATCTGCAATGCCTGCTCGGGATCAAGTTGCCGCCATGGGCCATGCGTCGACACCTTCAAAGCTGCACCGACGACCAGCAAACAAAGTTGGCGGGGTCCTGCGCGCAGGTCTATAGAAAGGCAGGGGTCCGGGCCCAGGAACATACTCAACCTACAAGGGCGTAGCGATGCGGCACCGACACGACAACCGACCGAACCGAACCTGCCGAGCATAGCCGACTGCGACGCAGCCGACACGACCGCTCCCCCGCGAAGGCCTGCAGGTCATGACTCTCTGGCGGCCGTTCGGGACGCTTCTTGCACCCCTGGGCCATGGCCCAAGAACGTAATCACCCCTGGGCCCAAGCCCGACGACGCCCGACTGGTACTCCAAATCCCTTATTAATCGACCCCCCCCCTAAAAAACCAGATCCCCCTCCAAATGCGACCTAATATTCCAGACCCCCCTCTTGTGCGGGGCGCCTTAATACACTGGACCCCCAAGCTCTAATCCACAGAAATCGCGCTAATGAGCCGGACCCCCCCAGTTACAAAAAAAAACGCCTCAAAAAACTGGACCCGGGGGACGATCAATAAGGGATTTGGAATACCTCCGCCGTAATCTGCCGAGCTTCCGCTCGGCCTGGCGGCCGTCGCCCGTGACGCCTCCGCCGGCTTCTCCCGCCGATGGCGGAGGCGCGCCGGAGGCGAGGCGCCCCGCCTGGAGCGCCCCAGAGGGGGAACGCCATCCGAGATGGCAATCCGGGGGGAGCGGGCCGAGTGTGGGGGGGCCCGTGCAACTCCAAGATCAGCGACTGGGAGCAAGGGCAGGCGGCACTAGCACCACCAGGGCGGGGAGAGGCGAGGAGCGAGGGGGGTTTGCCTCGCGGCGTGGTCCCCCCTCTCGCTCGAGACACCCCCAGCCTCCAGCTCGGGGGGGCATCGTGGATCTCCTCGCTGGAGGTGGGCCCCCTGGTGGTGTTGGTGTCGCATCTCCCCCCTCCGAATGGAAGCTCCAGGGTGAGCCGAGAGGCAGCAGACGTCGCTGAGCTCTCAACGATAGGAGGGCGGCAGGTGCACATCCGCATACAAGGATCGGCAAGCCTCGTAGGGAATACAAGTTCGATGCCCCTGAGTGTTTGGGGCCTCCTGAAGCGCCCTCGTCGGTGTCTAACGCCCTCTGGCCTGGCCAGGAGGGAGGCGTGGGGAGGAGGGAGGCGGAAGAGGAGGCGAGGAGGAGGAGAGGAGGCGAGGGAGGGAGCGAGGGGAGGAGGGAGGAGGAGGGAAGCGAGGAGAAGGAGCATGAGGAGCGCAAGGCTTCTGCCTGCTCCTTTTTGTTGGGCTGAGGGTGGGGGTGAGGGGGGCATCTTCGCAGGGGCTGGACAGGATCGCTCACGAGGGCAACGTGGAGACGAGGCGGAGAGAATGCAGCGGCCAGAGGAAGGTGCGGGGACGGGCCTCGCAAAAGGACCGGGGCGGACCGTGCAGCTGGCGCCCCCCGGTCCGTCGGCGCGGGGCGGGCGGGGCCCCCGCGCGCACGCGCCGAGAGCGGCGGCTGCGGTCCGGAGGCCCGTCGCGCGCGCACGCGCCCGGGGGGGCCCCCCTCCTCGGCGCCCGTTGCTCCCTCGCCCTCCCTGTCTTCCACTCTCTCTCTCTCTTTCGCTCGTTGTCCCTCTCTCTCTCTTTCTCGTTGTCCTTTTTTTGTTCTCTCTCTCTCTCTCTCTCCCTTTCTCTCTTTTTCTCTCTCTCTCTCTCTCTTTCCCTGTCTATAGTTTGGTACGTGCATATGCATAGACATGTTAACAATACATGTGCATATCTGTATACCTGTACACCAAAAAATAAACATCGAGAATTGGGGGTATATGGAAATGCAACAGGGACTCCCCGCCCGGAAATCGGCTTCGGTCTCGTGTTCGTGCCGTGCGCGCGCGCAGGCGCGCGCGTCGTGAGGCGAAATCGGAGCAAATGTCTCCTTTATCTCCAAAAGGGGGCCAACGGCCCGCGGTTGTCCGGCCGCGGTTGTCCCATGGCTCCCGTAGTTGTCCCGCGGTCGTCCCATGGCTGTCCTATGCTTGCTTAACCCGACGGTTGTCCTGTTGTTGTCCCGACGGTTGTCCCGATAGTTGTCCCGATGGTTGTGTCGATGGCTGCTCCGACGGATTCCGGCCAAGAAAATGCTCTCGGCCCCTTACGCGCCTCGGTTTTTGCCAACATGCAACTGCATATCTGGTTGTCCCGATAAAAAGAGAGTGAGACCTACAGATCGATAATGAGATCGACAGAAAGATAGTGAGGTCGATAGAGATGTCGATAGTGAGGTTGATAGTAGCATTAACAAATAGTGGGATCGATAGGTACAAAGTGAGAGCGATTGATGCGAAAGGGGTATGATTTGCCTGTTGAAGGCTGCTCGGTGGATGGAGAGGGTTGTCCCGGTGGTTGTCCCGTCATTGGTTCCGCTCCCAAACGTCCTTATCCTCCTGCGCCTGGCCTTACGTGTATATACAGATACATATAGATCTCAGGATGAAGGGCCCGAACGGTCATGCTCTGTCCCTGGGTGCGTGGCTGAAGTGGGGTTCCACGATGTTGATTACCGTTGTTGTTGGTATTAGTGTTATTGTTGTTGTTGGTGTGGTTGCTGGTGTTGTTGGTGTTGCTGTTGGTATGATGCTGCTGTTGTTGATGAGTTTGCTGTTGTTGATAATGGCGTTGTTGCTGTTGTTGGATACTCATTTCAAGAGAATAATTGATGTTGATCTCCAGAAACGGTTCCGCGCGCCCTCGCCTCGACGCCAGCTACATGTTCTCTGAAACGAAGCTCCCGCCCGAGCGTTGGCTTGAGTGTAAAAGTGGACCCTCGGAGGCCCGCTCGATACATCCTCACACTTTTCCGCGAGACACCCTGGCCAGAGAGGCTCCCGAACTCAGGAACGGCGCTCTCGCTCGAGACTTCCTCGCAATTCAGTCAGTTTGACGGAGGCCCAGCCACGACGACAAGGGATCCTGCTCGATACTTCCTCACGATTTACTCCGAGAGCCCCTGGCCAGGAAGGCCCCCGAGCTCAGGAACGGCGCTTTCGCTCGAGACTATATTGGTGGAGGCCCAACTACGACGACAAGGGCTCTCGTTCGATCCTTCCTCAAGATGTATTCGCGGAGGCCCTTGCCAGAGAGGCCCCCGAACTCAAGAGTGGCGCTCTCGCTTGAAATTCTCCCGTAAGTCAAGCAAGTTGGTAGCGGTCCAGACACGATGACAAGGGTTCCCGTTCGATGTTGATGTAAGAGCCCCTGGCCTGGCCAGAGAGGCCCCTGAACTCAGGAACGGCGCTCTCGCTCGAGAGTTCCTCGCACTCCAGGGAGTGGCCGACAGGGAAAATATTCCCCCCGAAAGGGGGCTCGATCGAAGACGAAGTGGGCGCGTATCGAGGGTTGGCGTATACAGAATGCAAAACACGCGTGCCAATAGAGCGAACAATCTTAAAACGACTGTTGTTGTTGCTGTTGCTGTTACTGCTGTTGTTGTTGTTGTTGTTGTTGTGTTGTTTGGCATCGTCCTCCGCACGACCTGGCCCATGACCCACCCGCGACCCACCCCGCGACCCACCCGCTACCCACCCGCGACCTACCCGCAACCCACCTCGCGATCCACCCGCAACCCACCCGCGGCCCACCCCGCGACCCACCTCGCGACCCACTCGCGACCCACCCCACGCCCACCCGCGACCAGCCCCGCGACCCACCCCGTGAAGGGGCCAAACGGTCATTCACTGTTCCTGGGTGCGTGGCTGAAGCGGGATTCCGCGATGCGGATTCTCGTTGGTGCTGTAATTTGCTATTATTTGGCGTCGTCCCCACCGCGACCTGGCCCGCGACTCACCCGCGACCCACCCCGCGACCCACCCGCGACCCTCCCGCGAACCATCCCGCGACCCACCCACCGCGACCCACCCGACCCACCCGCGACCCCCCACGACCCACCCCGCCCACCCCCCACCGCGACCCACCTCACGCCCACCACGGCCCACCCACGACCGACACCCCGCGACCGACCCGCGACCCACCCGCGAACCACCCGCGACCCACCCGCGACCCGGCCCGCGATCCATCCGCGACCCACCCGCGAACCACCCGCGACCCTCCCTGCGACCCGCCCACCTGGTTTTACTGCATACTTTGTCAAAATTAAGCGCCAGCGGCGGGCTCCTTCAAAGCCTCGCAGACTACCGACGTCCTCGCCGCCTCCTCACTCTTATCCGAAACTGCGGAGTGCTACGTATATCAATGTGCTCTGTTCTCTCTATGTGTAGATCTCTTCATCGCTCTCTGTATCTCTCTATATATCGCTCTCTCTCTCTCTCTCTCTCTTTGGTCTCCATCTCATCCTCTCCCTCTCTCTCTCTCACGCTCTCTCCCTTCTGGCCCTCTCTTTATCTCTTACTATATATGTGTCTACTCTCTCTCTCTCTCTATCACCGCTTGTTTGTCCCATGTTTCATTCATTCATCAATATGCACATATTATGCCCACACGTCGGGAGACAAGGAAGTTGGGAAGACGGGCGAAGCGTTCGATTTGCGATAGGCGTAAAATCGGATTCGTGATCGATCTGTCTATAACAAACCCTATGCCTAAACGTCAGTCTCCCTATGCCCTATGGCAGTCTCACTACCTACCCATCGGCCCTGCTATCAAGAGTTCAACCTATCTCGCTGCATACCTGTTTCAAAATCCATTGATCTCAGCGTAGCTATATTTGAACACATATATATATATATATATACACATACATATCTCGTACGTCGTACACTATACCGAGCGCACGGCCTACCTATACAAGGAACAACCACGGGACAAACTCGGGAAAAGCAAAGGCAACCCCGGGACAACCACGGGACATCAAGCACAACCATCGGACAAGCACGGGCCAACAACAGGGAAACCCCGCGCACGCCACGGGACAACCATGGGACAATCAAGGACAACCACAAGACAACCACAACACAACCACGGGACAACCACGGGACAACCACAGGAAGGCCGCGGGACAAAGGCGGGGCAATCGCGGGGCAACCGAGAGCCAAGAGACAACAATGGGGCAACGATCTAACAATATGCCAGTTGCGCGCCTGTCGGATTCACATTACACCTGAGACAACCCCAATCAGTGGATGATTTGAAAATTAGTCACATGGATCTTGAGATCGATTGTGAGATCGATAATGAGATCGATAGTGGAATCGATAGAGGACGATTGTAAGGTCGATCGTGAGACCGAGAGTGAAATCGATTCAATGAAATCGATAGGGAGATCGATCGCGAGATCGCTCGTGCGATCTCTAGTGAGATCGCATGCGAGGTCGATTGTGGCATCGATGGTGAGATCGATAGAGAGGTGGGAAATGAGATAGATGCTGAGACCGATCGATGAGAAGATCGACCAGGAACCCGGGAACCTGGGAACCTCGCCGCCCACCGAAATCGGCCCGGGAACCGGGAACCCGGGAATCCGGAACCGGGAACCCGGGAACCCAACGTGCGACCAAAATCGGCAGGAAACTCTCGCCGAATCCTTCAACCTCCGCTAGGACCCCTTCAGCGCAAGCACTGATTGGGAACAAAATCACTCGATTTGTCGACCTCGCGACCTATCGGTTTAACAATTTATCGGTTCGCCCCACTCGCAATTAACTGAACCAACCATCGCATGAAACAACATATGCGCATAACTACTGCAATCCATAATACAGTTTCAGAGAACATTCGTCCTGTCCATCCGCCCCAAATTTTAAACAGGATCTTCCTACACGTGCTGCTGTCTTCATGTCTGGCAGCGGGATACCTGAGCATTTTCTTAGGGTGGAGGGCTCAGGGTGAAACCCATACGGGCTTTTGCACCTCGAAAATCAATCCGTCTTGTGATTCACCTTTTGCAGACTCACGCCTCGAAAATCCATCGACACGGCACTTCAGATTTCACCCTTTGCCCTCCACCCAAAGAAAATGCTCGGGATACAGTCGGGGCGTTGACCTAAGGAACCCTAAATAAGGAACGAGACCCCTTTTTTCCATAAGTTCACCTTCGATTTCCGATCGAAAACATGAGGAAAACCTGAGGCAAGCTGTGAAACACTTCAGGAACACGGAGCCCCTCCCCAACGAAAAGGGTTCCTTCTTCAAGGCCCCGACTGTACAGCGAACGGGACAACCATGGACGGCCATGGGACAACCACGAGGCAACCACCGGAAGAAGCGACAACCGCGGGACGGCCACGGGACAACCACGGGACCACCACGGGACAGCCGCGGGGCCCACGCCGCGACGACCGTGGGGCAACCGTGGGACCACCGCGGGACAAACACGCGGCACAGACACGCGGGACAATCGCGACACACGCCCACGCGCACGCCACGGGACAACCACCGGACAGTCATGGGAGGGCCCCGCGCCGCTCCGGAAGCTGAACCTCCGACCTCTCACGGCACGCCTGGGGGCCCGGCCGGGCGAGGCACTCGCGCTGCCTCGCCCCGCCCGCACGCACGACACGGACCGAAACCGAAACCAGCTGCAAGCTTTGGCGAATCCGTTTCACTTCGGCCTCGGCTCCCAATTTCGTATCTCCAGCTTCCTCCGTATAGACATGACCCTCCGTCTCCTCCTCCTCCTCCTCCTCCTCTTCCTGCTCCTCTTGCTGCATCTCTGCCTTCCTGTTCCTCCTCCTGCACTTCTGCCTCCTCCTGTTCCTCCTCCTCCTCCTCCTCCTCCTCCTCCTCCTCCTCCTCCGCTTTCTTCTCTTAATCGTGGTGGTGGTGGTGGTGCTGCTGCTGCTGCTGATCTCGATCGTACCCCTGCTCTGTATCCCGATGCCGCTCTGTAAGCTCCTCCATTCCCTCCTCCTCCTCCTCCTCCACCTCCTCCTCTCTGCCTCTCCTCCTACCGCCCCCGCCCCCCGTGTCGGCCAAGCTCCCGCCCCTGCCGCTCCTTCTACTCCTCCTTCCGCCCCCTCCTGCACTTGCTCGTCTCTCTCTCTCTCTCTCTCTCTCTCTCTCTCTCCATCGCCCCCCTCATGGCTCTGCCCTGTGGCATCCGAACGTGACGCGCAGCAGCGGTGACGACCTCTGAAGGGGCCCCAGGGACACACAGATAAAACAGACACGATTCCCAACTTGTTGCTCCCATGCTTTTTTCTGGATGTTCGTCGTCCACCCCACTTCCTAGAGTTCCCCATCTTTCCTTTTGAACAAGGACCGACCGTCCCGGCATCCCTATAGTCCTACCACGAAATGTTCTTAGAACCCAGAAATGTTCGAAACAGAACAGAAGCACTGTTCTTAGAACATAATCCCGACGTGTTAAAACAAGCCAGCCCTGGCCAGAAATGTTCCAAGAGCATTTCGTGGAACCCACACAAAAGGTTCTAAGAACATTCTGTGGTAGGCCTATAAGCACGCAAGGGGGCTTCGTCACTTTGGACGCCCGGAATGGGCACGGAAACAATGGGCACAATGCCCAACAGCAGATGTTGCCCCGAACCAACAGCGGCCGCTGTTGGGCAGGCGGCCTTCTGTCTCAAATGCACACAGGCCGCGGCGACACCGACAGCGAGTCCTGCTCAAAATGAACAGGAACTGTTGGGCATTGTACCCATTCTTTCCGTGCCCATGTCGGTCGTCCCGAGCCCCTGCTTGAAGTGTGGTTCTTCCCCTCGTTGTTCTTAGAACACTCTATGGTCGGCCCATCGGCTCTTAGAACACTCGCTGCTTCGTGGAACCCACACAAGGTTCTTAGAACACCCTTTCGTAGGCCCATCAGCACGCCAGGACGCTTCGTCACTGCTTGAAGTGTGGCTCTTCCCCTCCGGATCCCGGGGCCGCCGCCACCCGCCACCCGCCGCCCGGCGGCCACGCGCGCAGCGCCACGGCCCAGAGTCCGGCACGCGAGCGCACCGAGAGCCCGAGCGGAGACGACGGCCGCCCCGGGACACGCAGACCCACACGGCCAGCTCGCAGCCTGTGGAGAGGGCCGGAGTCCAGCACGCGAGCGCACCGAGAGCCTGAGTGGAGACGACGGCCGCCCCGGGACACGCAAACCTACACGGCCAGCTCGTAGCCCATGGAAGGGGCCCGGGGGCACACAAATACGTAGACACAAGTCACAGGATTCCTCCCCACAGTTGTCCCTAGATCCTGGGTTGCTGTCTCCCCCCCCCACTTCCCACAGTTAGCTTCCCATCTTCTCTCGGGGATCGACGATTTATTGTGTCTGTGCTTTTCCCCCCTCCTATAATCATATGGACGCAAGGCAAGGACGCCAAGGGCCTCGGAAGGCCACGTCGGCACCCTGCGAGAGGGGCGCGGCCCGCGCGAGCGGCCATGCGAGGCGGGAATTGATCCACGTCCACCGCCTAGGAACCGACGTCCTGGTGTCCCAGCGGGCGGTTGATGTGGATATAGTTCGGCCCTCAGGGGTCCGAATATGTCCTTATCCGCCGCCTGCCGAGGTTCCGAACACTGACCCTCCAGGCGGTGGTCATATGCAAATTCCCGCCTCGGAGGCCAAGGATGGACCGAGGAGGGAAGGATGCAAGGGCGCCCTTGTGAAGGTTGCCCATCCTTACCATGCGGGTCGACTGTACGCCCCAAGGCTCTCCGAGCCGTGCCCAACACTCCTCACCTGCGGAGCTCTGTGATGTTGGGCGGGCCAGCCCGGCTGGCCCTCGGTCCCCGATGCTCTTCCTCCTCTCAGGACCCCATGCTCGTCCACGAAAGGGCTGTTTTTTCCTTTGGGAAAACTCAAGCAGCCTTCTGGGCGACGAACGCTCTTCAACGGCAGATTGCTCATGTCAAGGAATAAGGACAACCCTTTGTGCCGACTGTCCGTTTCCCTCAGGAGCCGTTCCTGGGGAAACCAACAGGTACCGATACCGCTACTCCCCGGACCTCTCCCGGGGTGCGCTCTGACAAGAATTTCGAGGCGAATCCAGCGGTGGCGACGAGGGCCTCCGAGGAGGCCCAAAAAGGGGAAAACGAGGAGAGGGTAGAGGGTAGAGGTATGGGTACCTTTTCCTCCTCTGAAATCCGCTCCTGGCGGTTCTCCCTGCCAGGGCTCGCCCCTGTGGCTCGCCGGCCGGCACGGCCGAGCCCCGACCTCCCCACGAGCCGCTCCTGCGGCGACTGGCCTCGCCGCGGTGAGCGCCACGCAGAGGCCTGCGCCGCTCTCCTGGCCGTGGCGCCGGCGAGGAGGGGGCGGCAGCTCTCGAGGTTCGCAGGTCAGTGCTCACTCCTCGCCTCGCATGATGGGCCTGTTTTCCACCCCCACCACCATAAGTTGGAGGGGGGAAGGAGGTGGAGGAGGAGGAGGAGGAGGACGACGACGAAGAGGAGGAGGAGGAGGACGAATAGAAGGAGGAGGAGGAGGAGGAGCAGGAGGAGGAGGAGGAGGAGGAGGAGGAGGAGGAGGAGGACCCCCTCCGCCTCCAACTTATGGTGGTGGTGGAGAACAAGCCCACCATCTCAGGTTTCAGGATCGAGGCTCCGGGCACCCTGCTGGAGCTGGGGGAAGTGCGGAGACTCTCTAGGGACCTCCGGAACAGACCTGCGACGACTGGGAAGAACGCGCCAGACATCTGTTCGCTATCTCGGGCCTCCTGAGGCAGTTTCCGCTCCTGATGTGCTCGCACAGGGTTGGCTGGATAAAGATGCTGACGCATAGGAGCGAATGACTGAATCGAAGATGTCTGTTCAACCGTTGCTGCCTGTGTTTTGGGAACAAAACGTTTGGACCTACTTTCACCATTTTCGACCGTCTGCACGAAGAGCATTCGTCAGTTCTGTCACCCGCCCACAATTCCGCGCCCATGGCAATGAATTTGCGATGCCCATACGTGAAAGTCTGAAGATCTGGACGAGCGGATGTGGGGCGGGACGAAGGGAGAGGGTGAATGCAGGGTCTGGCCGGGGGAGAGCGGACGTGGATACGGAGCATACTGCAGAGATTGCGCTTGAGCGGCAACGGACTAATGGGGAGATCTCGGTTACATTTCGTCGACCGTCCATTACTCTCAATCACCTGGCGAACACGCCGTCTTGCTCGCGGCCCTCCCGCACCTACGTCCGACGAGGTCCGCCCTCGTGGCCACCGCCTGGCTCCCGAAGTCTCCAGCGGATCGGGGATAGCAGGGACGCGGGCGAGGTCCAGGCCACGCCAACGACTGATGGCGGTGAGCCCGGGGGGGAAGCGAGAGGGGGCGGGCCTTCCCAGAAGGCAACAAAACGACCGAACATCTCGCAGGTCGGATTCCTGACAGGCTCCGGCACAAACACACGGAGCTGCTCCCAAGATGAGAGCTCCTGCCCTGGGCATTGTGAATCAAAACCAATGCCAACAATGAGCAAGAGAACGCCCCACCCCCAACTGACCCCCCCCTGCGAGGGGGGGGTGGGGGCATGTGGGGTGGGTCTACTTTTTGGGTCGCGTTTGTTCAACACCATCACAATCGGATGATCGAAACTCTCTGGTCTAGCCACAGAGGGGAGAGGTTGGCCCGGTGGGGGTGGGGGTGCGCTTTTACAACAACCAGAGGAATAAGAGGAGAAGAACGACGACGAGCGGGAGGATGAACAAGACGACGCAAGAGCACGTGACGTCGGTGCAGCAAAGCCAAAGCCGTATCCTCGCCGGGCAACGGCGCAACCCGTCTGATGGAGTAGCTCAAGTTCGCGAGGTGCCTCGCGGGAAATGTGCAGACCCACGCAAGATGTAACCAATACTGGGTACAGACCCACGCAATATGCAACCAATACTGCTAAACTGCCAGCCCTGCCGTAACGTACAACTGCCGTACATCGGGCTGGACATAAAGAACTCTTGCCTTCCTTCACCGACCTCCTGCTTGGCCCCTTCACCAGCGTGATCGTGACAAAGATACGGTGCAGACACAGAACTGACCCGCGTGGGAGGAACTTTGCTCCGCGACCAGACCGTGTTGAGCTCCCGCAGAAGAGAGTTCAGTCAATGTACCCATTGCGCGCCCTCGAGGCCGCTGCCCACGGGGAACCGTCCATTCAACTCGCGATGCCGGGGGAGACCAAAACAACGGCGGTGGGTACTGCCATGACCGGGTCGGAGGATCGCGCCGCATCACGAATGCATCGCCAATGCATCGGTGATGCTTCGGCGATGCATCGGCGATGCACCGGCGAAGTCGGCGATGCGCTGGCGACGTCGGCGCGGAGAAAGTCGGGCCCCACACCGAGCCACATCGCCGAGGCATCGGCGATGCGGCGCGATCCTCCGACTCCATCTACTCCGACCCCATCTAGTGCACGGTTTCCCACGGTGCCGTAGGCGACCCGAGGAGGAGAAGGCGAAGGAGGAGGAGGTGGAGCAAGGGGGAGGGGGAGGAGGAGATGGAGGAGGAGGAGGAGGAGGAGGAGGAAGAGGAGGAGGAGGAGGAGGAGGAGGACCCCATCTGCTCCGACCCCATCCAGGAGGCCTAGGCCTAGATGGCCAGTGCCGAGGATGCCTCGGGCGCCACGGCCGCTCTGGAGAGCGCTCCAGAAGGCTCCGCTAGAGAGAGAGAGAGAGAGAGAGAGAGCTTGGGCACGCGCGGGCGCGAGCGTGTGCGCAGACCGTTGGCTCAGGTCGAGCATGTCCTCCTGCAGGCGGATTTTGGGCGACAAATTAAACATAATCCAATACTATATGTATGTATGTATGTATGTATGTATGTATGTATGCATGCATGCATGCATGCATGCATGCACGTATGCATGCATGCATGTATGTATGTATGCATATATATGTAGGTCTGGATGTATGCATGTATGTATGTATGTATGTATGTATGTATGTATGTATGTATGTATGTGTGTGTGCGTGTGTATGTATGTATGCATGCATGTGTGTAGGCATGTATGTGTGTGTATGTATGTATGTATGCATGTATGTATGCACGTGTGTATGTGTGTATGTGTGTATGTATGTATGTATGTTTGTATGTATGTCTGCATGCATGCATGCATGCATGTATATATGTATGTATGTATGTATGTATGTATGTATGCATGTATGTATGTATGTATGTATGTATATATGTATGTATATATGTATGTATATGTGTGTATGTATGTATGTATGTATGTATGGATGCATGCATGTATGTATGTATGTACGTATGAATGTATGTATGCATGTATGTATGTATGTATGTATGTATATATGCATGTGTGTATGTATGTATGGGTGTGCATGCATGCATGCATGCATACATGCATGTATGCATGCATGCATGCATGTATGTATGTATGTATGTATGTTTGTATGTATGTATAGGTGTATATACATATATATATATATACGAACACCAACTATACATGTGTTGATTGCCTGCTTTATTATTTGCGCACACACACACACACCAGAAACCATCACCCGATTATGTTTGGACTATCTTGGGGAGATTCCTCCTGCAGAGGGACGTGCCAGACGGGCTCCGCCCAGGCTGCGGAAGGGGGGCGGGGGGGGGGGGGGCGGGCCCGCCCGCGGAACACGCCGCCCGCTCGCGGGGGCTTCCCCTGGCAGAGGAGGAGGAGGAGGAGGAGGAGGAGGAGGAGGAAGAGGAGGAGGAGGAGGAGGAGGCGGAGGAGGAGGGAGGAGGAGGAGGAGAAGGAGGAGGAGAGGGAGGAGGGTGATGCCCGCGGGGTAAGGCGACCGTGTCGGGCCACGGTCACCCTGGCGCGCGCCCCCGCGCGCGCCGACACTTCGGCGCTGCTACGCGCCCGAAGCCGTCGGGCAGGCCTCACCCCGCGCCGCCCGCAGCAGCCTTGCCACCTTGGCGGCCAAGCCTGGCGAGCTGCTGCGCTCCCGCTCGCGCCGCCGTGGCCTCGGCCAGCCTCCGCTGCCGCCCGCAGCCCCTGCTTCGCATCGAGCAGCAGAGCCACCTGCAGGCGGCAGACTCACCTCCTGCATCCTGGCCTCCCTGGCCTCGGCGTCGCCGCCCGCAGCCCCTGCTTCGCATCGAGCAGCAGGTTCACCTGCAGGCGGCTGGCCCTCCTCCTGCTGCCTGGCATCCTTGGCCACGGGGTGCGGGGGCGGTCCGCCGCCGCCGCCACCCTCGGCCGCCCCGCCTCCTGCCTCAGCGGGGCCCGCATCACGTCGCTGGCCGTCCTCCTGCTGCCTGGCCACCTTGGCCGCCCGCCTGGGCGACCGCGAGGGAGGCACCAAGGCGGGCCGCCTCGTCGAGCTGCTGCGCTCGCGCGCGCGGCGCCGCGGCCCAGGCCCACTGCCGCCGCCCGCGGGCCCCTCTTCTCCTCCTTCCGTGGGGCCGTCAGGCAGCAGCTGGCTGGCCGCTCGCCGCCTGGCCACCCTGGCCCAGCTGCGCGGCGACGGCGAGCGACTGCGCCCGCGCTCGCCACTCCGCGGGGATAAGCCATCCCCTCCTCGGCCCTCGTCGTGCACCACCTGCGCGGTCACCTGCGCGTCCGCGCCTCTGTCCTCACCCCTGGCCGCCAGCGCCTGGTCCGCCAGCCCGCGCTGCACCTCCACGTCGATCAGCCCCCCGCTCAGGTCGTCGAGGCGCGCGACGACCACGGACACCACCCTCGCCGTGCGGGGTGCGAGCCCTCTCCTCAGCTTGGCCACCGCCGCACTGCCAGCAGCGGACGGCGGCATCTTGCACTCTCCGTTGGAGCCGCTGGCCCTGGCGGCGCCCGCCAGCCCGCAGAGGCGGCAGGCCACCAGCGGCATCCTGCGCTCCAGCTGCTCGTCCACGACAGGGCGGAGCACGACCAGATCGTGAGCTGCGACCCCCCGCCTCCTCAGCCTCCTGTTGGCTCTCGCCGCATCCGCCACGATGGGGCCTGGGCGCTCACCAGCTCTCTCCTCCCACCTGCAGACTTCGCACCACGTTGGCTGTCCAGACTTGCCACGCCAGGTGCAGGCCACCTGCGCGGCTGCAGTGCGCCGTTCAGGATGCGCTCGCTGCTGCTTGACCTTGCCGTGCGTGGTGTCGCTGCCGTCGAGCCAGGTGCCCACCGCGGTGCACCGCATGGCGACCCTGTCCACCAGCCCTCGACTACGCGCGAGCAGCTGGCGCTCACGGCCAGGCAGTCGTCCAGCTGCGGCTGCTGCCTTCGCTGCGCGGTCTGCCAGACGATTGCCGTGCCAGTCCCGATACGACACCTCCCCATCCTCGACCTGCTTCCTCGAGCAGTGGCTTGGCATCCACCGCAGGTGCACCTCACTCCCGAGACCTCCGCGTTCATCCATCAGAGCCCACGCCTGCCTCCACAGGTGCGCCCAGGAGTACCCGCTGGCCGTCGTGCGCTCCCGCCCCACCAGGTAGAAGCCGTCGAACACGCACTTCGAGTCCACGACGAGCACCGTGTCACCGTTGCCGTACCTCAGCGCCATGACCACCGCTGTGACCTCGCTACCGCTGATGTCGACGTACGGCCCGCCCACCTGGCCAGCGATCGACGCCTTGTAGCTGTCTCCGCCCTCTAGCAGCGCGACGACGCTCCAGCCCGCCGAGGTGAACTCCCCGTAGTCCGCCTCAAAGACCGAGCCGTCCAGGAACAGCTCACCCGCTGGGAGAACACCTCCATCGTGGCAGCCCTTCCAGCAGACCAACTCGCTGGCCTGAGGCTTGCGAATCCCTTTGGGCGCCGGCCACAGGCACCTCTCCAGCAGCAGCTGAATGCCAGGCTCGTTCCACCTTCTCCTGAGGTCAGCGAGGTCGGGGGGGCAAGACCAGCACCTCCTGCCAGCTGGCACTGTCACAGTGCCTGTGTAGCAGTGTGCCCTCCAGCCCGCACCTCAGGCAAGCGGCGCTGCTGGCCAGCCCCTTCTCTGCCTCCCTCGTCTGCGCCCGCTGCCCGTTGACGATGAGGGACCGCAAGTGCGCCTTCTCGTGCTGCGTGAGCTTGACCTTCGTGCCAGCTCCTGCACCTTGCCGACCTCCTGGACAACGCACCCTGCCCGTGGTGGTCAGCCTCGCCAGCGGCTCCAGCTCTCCTCCTCCCGCAAGGTGACTACATCCTGGGTCTTTACTGACCTGCCTCCACTGCCACCTCTGTACACCACGCATGACCAGCTTGAGGGCGACCCACGGCGCGTAGTCGAAGGGCGCAATGGCGGTGCCGTCGTCCATGACCCAGCTGTTGGCCTCCTCGACCTCCCAGCCGATCCTCCTCAGCGACATCACCGTCGCCGCACACGGCCCCTGGACATGAGCCCAAGCTGTGGCACGCTTGTCCTGCAGGCAGTGGACAACCATGTGAAACGGCACCCATTTCTCCCACACCGCCCTCAGCAACATCCTTACTGGCATGCATGTCGCGTCGAAGATCGGGTCGAGCCCAGGCTGGAGGAGGAGCTCCAGCGACCTGCTCTTGCTCGCCGTGGAGTTGGACACCGCCACGAACGTGAAGGACCTGGCGCGGTCCAGCTCACCCATGGCGCACCCCGCGATGGCCATGCCGTAGCCGATGCTCGGGTGCAGCCCTGTCTTCGCAACCCTCCTCGTTGCGATCCTCTTGGCCTTCACAAGCTTGAGCGCCTTGAACTTCCTTATCCTCTGCCCCGCCTGCTGGAGTCGGCCCGCGCGCACGGCCCGCCCCAGTCTCTTGTCCCCGCTGAAGTCGACCCCGAGGTTGCGCCCCTGCCCCACCGCCAGCACCCCTAGCGGCTTGCGCAGCCTCCTCTCCAGCTCCTGCCTGGCCTCGGG